GCAGCAGTATTGAGGACAGGAAATCAGCAGAAAGAAAATGCAAGAGTCCACAAGTGATGTACCAAAATGCCAGAGGAGTTTGTAATAAGGGCAAGACTGTCAAAGTCTGCATAAAACATCATGGCAGGGTAGGGTCATCAGAGTACTTTGCATTATAGTAGCATCAATGGCAACAGGATAAGCAACAATGGCAACATCAGTGATGATGGTAGCATCATCATTGTTGTCAGTGGTGGTGGCATCATCAGCCATGGTATAAGTAGCACCGGTAACTGCAGTGAAAAACCCAGAAGCAACATAAGTATTTTGTGCTGTCTGTGAGGGCAATATCGGAAACAAATACAGTGTTATCAGCAGCATCAGCAGAACTAGTTGAAGTTAGTCTTCAAGTCTAGACCAGGCCATAAGAAATTTGGATGAATAGGAAAATTTCCCTGCTATTTACCCATACACCCATGTTATAACTGGAGAAGCATTCCCAAGACATAATATTCAATATTTAAGTTTGTTTATTCTTTAAGAAAGAATATTTACCCAATATTTTACATTCAGTCTCCCGTCACTTACAAATGGCATTAAAAATTGTTTAATGTATACTTCTACTTTCAGCAAACTGGCTATATCTCACTGAGGCAGGGTGGCCCAAAAAGTAAAACAAAAGTTTCTCTTTAACCCTTTCAGGGTTTTGGCCGTACTAGTACGGCTTACACACCAGGGTTTTTGACGTACTAGTACGCATAAATTCTAGCGCCCTCAAATCTAGTGAGAAAAAGCTGGTAGGCCTACATATGAAAGAATGGGTCTATGTGGTCAGTGTGCGCAATATAAAAAAAAATCCTGCAGCACACAGTGCGTAATGAGAAAAAAAAACTTTGTGTTTTTTGATTAAAACAGCAACTTTGCACTGTATTTTCATATGGTATTTATTGTTGTATTCTAGTTTTCCTGGTCTCATTTTATAGAATGGAAGACATATTACAGAAATTGAGATGATTTTGACTGGTTTTACAATGAAAAGTACCTTGAAATTGAGTTCAAAGTAGCAGAAATGTTCGATTTTTACCAAAGTTCAAAAGTAAACAAATCGTGCCAAGCGTCCAATACACGTCAACTGGTGAGTCTAATATTCTTTCACATGTGCGCTGATATTATTTATACCATTTCTACACTAATGCAGTAGTCTGCATAACAGTAAATCTTCTATTTTTTGTAAGAATGAAAATTCAAAGTGGAAAGCCAAAGAAATATAAGAGGAGCCTGGGATGTGACTAACGAACAGAGAGCTTGTTATTTTAGTGCCAGGAATGTCTTTCTTGTTTATTCTGGACCCTATTTGGAAATTGGCATCTTTTGAAATTTGTGTGAAATTGGCAAAATTGCTAAATTCTGACTACTTTATCGGATAGTTGGAATTGGTAAATGGGTGGTTTCTTGTACTCATTCAATAGAAAAAAATGGAGTTCTAGTGAAATAGTTATGATTTTTGTCGACTAGTACGTGCACTGGAATTGGCCGAAAATAGGGCTCAAAGTGGGCAAAATCGCCAATGCATAAACATCGTTGAGACCGCTAACTTCACGAGAGCATAATTCCATAAGTTTTCCATCAAATTTCATACTTTTGGTGTCATTATGATCGAGAAAAGATTCTCTATCTTTTCATAAGAAAAAATAATTTTTTTTTTTAAATTTGGCGACCCTGAGAACAAGTCTCGGAGAGGAGAGGACCTGGGTACCCTGAAAGGATTAGCTTTGTTAATGTATACAGGAGAAGGGGGTTACTAGCCCCTTACTCCCGTCATTTTAGTTGCCTCTTACGACACACATGGCTTATGGAGGAAGAATTCTATTCCACTTCCCCATGTAGAAAATTAGTACACGTACTTTCTTTCACTGCACTGGCCGTATCCCACCGAGGCAGGGTGGCCCAAAAAGAAAAACAAAAGTTTCTCTTTTTAAATTTAGTAATGTATACAGGAGAAGGGATTACTAGCCTCTTGCTCCTGGCATTTTAGTCACCTCTTACGACATGCATGGCGTATGGAGGAAGAATTCTGTTCCACTTCCCCATGGGGATAAGAGGGAATAAACAACAAGAACTAGTAAGAAAATAGAAGAAAACCCAGAGAGGTGTGTGTATACATATATATATATCTTCAACAAACTGGCCATATCCCACCAAAGCAGGGTGGCCCAAAAAGAAAAACGAAAGTTTCTCTTTTTAACTTTAGTAATGTATACAGGAGAAGGGGTTACTAGCTCCTTGCTCCCGGCATTTTAGTCGCCTCTTACAACATGCATGGCTTATGGAGGAAGAATTCTGTTCCACTTCCCCATGGAGATAAGAGGAAATAAACAAGAACAAGAACTAGAAAGAAAATAGCAAAAAACCCAGAGGGGTATGTATGTATATATATGCTTGTACATGTATGTGTAGTGTGGCCTAAGTGTAAGTAGAAGTAGCAAGACATACCTGAAATCTTGCATGTTTGAGACAGAAAAAAATACACCAGCAATTCTATCATCATGTAAAACAATTAGAGGTTTCCATTTTACACTCCCTGGGCAGTTGCTGTCTACCAACCTGCTACAATGCCAAACAAATGTGTTGAGGCAGTCAGCAGCGAGATTACCTGCTACATTTTCTCAATTCTACTCTCCTATTCAGTTCAATGCTCTCTCCCATCATATCTAACTCAAGACTCTTCACATGTATATATACTGTGCTCACCACTTTCTCACTGTTATGGTGAAGGTATTAAGTGACTGGATATACAGTGAGGGAAGGTAGTGGTGAGGGGAATTGTGCATGGGTGGATGTGGCATTAGTGAGCAAAACTCCTGCTGTCCAGCACCCTACCCATGTCCAGTATACATGCAGCAACAGTGGCTACCACAGCCCATTATACATGAACTCTCCACACATGTACATAAAACAATGTACCAGTGCAGTTGATAAGCAAAGTATTCATAGTTCAGCCTTAAGAAAATTGTAAGCAGAATATTTACCAAGAAGCTACTGAAGCACAGCCTTTAAGGGGTGCCTTGTTACTACTAAAGGGCTCTTGATCCAAGGAATTTGAGATACTCTCCCTTTCCTTGGATTAATATCTATGGTTACTGATAAATCTGTCAAACAAATGTGAGCTCTCTATACATACATACATAAAATTGAATGCACACAAAATGTCATTTCATTTGTAAAAAAAAAAAAAAAAAAAAAAAAAAAAAAAAATATTTCAAATGATTTCCCTGAATATTTTCAATGATCATAACTATATATGAGCTTTCAAAATTAATTAACCCTTTCAGGGTCCAAGGCCAAAATCTGAAGTGGTGCCCCAGTGTCCAAGAATTTTCAAAAAAAAAATTTGTTATTTTTTCTTATGAAATGGTAGAGAATCTTTTTGTGAAGGTAATAAAACAAAAAGTACGAAATTTGATGGAAAATTTACGAAATTATGCTCTTGCGAATTTTGATGTGTCAGCGATATTTACGAATCGGCAATTTTGCCGACTTTGACTCCCATTTTAGGCCAATTACATTATTCCAGTCGACCAAATTCTTAGCTATTTCACTAGTATTACTTCTATTCTATCGATTGAGCACAAGAAATCGCCAAGTCAACTGTTTCAACTACAAAATAAAGTGACTGGAAATTGGTAATTTGGCCAATTTAACACAAAGTTCAAAATATTCCAATTTCAAAATAGAGTCCAGAATAAACAATGTAGATATTCCTGGCACTAAACTAACATTTCCTCTGTTCATTACTTATGTTTTGAGGCTTTACAAATAAATTCCATTTTGATTTTTTATTCACATAATGAATTTTTATTCACACCAAAAAATAGATGATTTATTGTTATGCAATATTGTAATAATTGTATAAATATCATCACCACATTTTTTTTTTTTTTTTTTTCAACAAGTCGGCCGTCTCCCACCGAGGCAGGGTGACCCAAAAAAGAAAGAAAATCCCCAAAAAGAAAATACTTTCATCATCATTCAACACTTTCACCACACTCACACATTACCACTGTTTTTGCAGAGGTGCTCAGAATACAACAGTTTAGAAGTTTTTTTTTTTTTTTTTTTTTTTTTAACAAGTTGGTCGTCTCCCACCGAGGCAGGGTGACCCAAAAAAAGAAAGAAAATCCCCAAAAAGAAAATACTTTCATTATCATTCAACACTTTCACCACACTCACACATTATCACTGCTTTTGCAGAGGTGCTCAGAATACAACAGTTTAGAAGCATATACGTATAAAGATACACAACATATCCCTCCAAACTGCCAATATCACCACATTTGTGAACATATATTAGACCCACCAGCTGGCGTGTATTAGACGTGTGAGGTCGTTTGTTTACTCTTGAACATCGGTAAAAATTTAACATTTCCGCTACTTTGAGCTCAGTTTCAAGCCATTTCCAGTGCTAAAACCAATCAAAATCATCCCTATTTCTGTAATATGTCTTCCATTCTATCAAATGAGACCAAGAAATCGCAAATACAACTATAAAAAAATACGAAAAAACACTGCAAAGTCGCTGTTTTAATCGAAAATCAGGGTCTCAGTTTTTTCTCTCATTATACACAGTGTGCTGCAGGATTTGTTTTATGTGGTGCACACATACCACATAGATGTATTCTCTCATATCTAAGGCCCAAATTTACCACTCACAGTTTATCAGAGTGAGCTGAGCTCATGGCATAGATCTACGGTTTGGACCTTGAACGTAAAGCCGAACATCTACGGGACGGACCCTGAAAGGGTTAATTAGTTCCAGCGTGCTAATGTCTTTAGTGAAGAACATCATAGGCTGAAACATCTTAAATCAGGGACTTACTGTCATAAAAATAATATCTCCTACTTTATATCATTACTTAGCTGCTAAATTTTTTTTCTCTAATAAAAATTACCAATTCTATAATTAAATCATATTTTTGTAATGCAATAGCTACAAAAGGAGAATAAAAAATGCAAAATTACATATTAGTAGCATGTTATTTTATTCTGTACAGTGCAAAATAATGTTTCTTAACACTTATTTACAAATTAATTAAACATCATGATAAAGTCTGATGTAACAAAAATTACTGCACTTCTATTGTACATATCACGTGTGTTAAAAAAACAGATAATGTAAAGGATATAATGTACTTAATATTATGAAGCTAAAACCCTAGAATCTTATGAAGCCTAATGAACCAACATGCATCCACATAAAATGTATACAGTGTTGCCTGCTGCACTAATAAGGACCCGTATACAGCGTTCACTAACTGCCTGCTGCCACAAAAGTATATACATATAATAGGCACTACTATACCCTGCAGCTCATCTTGAGGCTACGATTCTGTTGCCCTGGCCAATCAGGTTGTTGCTCCTAGTTACCCACAGGTCTACTTAATCCTTAAACTGTCCAAACGTAGATCAATGTTCGTGTGCATACCGCTCTGAACATTTTGGGAAAGAAAAAAAAAATTTTTTTTTTTTTAAAATAAAGAGCGCATTTTTCCCAGCCTCCTCGAATTTTGTCATACTGTGCACACTGAGAGCATAGACTCATTCTCTCATGTCTAGGCAACTCAGGCTTATCGTGCCAAGGCTGAAAGCATGTAAAATAAACCGTAGATCTACGATCGGAGCGCTACGCACGTGAACATAGCTCTACGTCTGGACAGTTTAAGGGTTAACCATCACAGCCTACCTGATCTCGAACTTAGAGTAGGTGCAGTCCAGTTTCCGCTTGAAAACTTCTACCATTGTTCTGCCAATACAGTATTTATTATCTGTAGTAGGATGAAGTCTTTAACCACAGATGTTGACACAATGTTCTCTTAATTGTGCCTATGGCACAGCTGGCACCCTTACTTTTCACCAAGTTTTTTGTACACTTTACTGTACAAGTGGCAACCCTAGACACTGTTGCTACCTGGTGCCCCAACAAGAATCCAGCTACAGCGGGCACTTGCAGCAACTTTGCGAGTAACACGTTTCTTGTCATTCAATGCATTTCGCAGTCCTCTAATCACCTGTGGAAACAAAACATGTTTGTGTGACCACAAAAGAAATTGCTTGTTGCACAAACCAAGACTTCCATGTAGAAACTTTAGAATGATGTTGATGTTAAGCTTACTCAGCATGCAGTTTAATGTTTTGGTATGTTCTAAAAATTTATCAAAGAAAAACTAGAATGCAGTATGGAAAGAGTCTGTATAATTCAGCTTCACTCAGAGGTCCTCTTTTGTAGTAATAATATAACTTAGTTATACAACTAGTTATTATTAATGAGCAACAAAAGAAAAGAACAGAAAAGAAAAGAAATAATAGTTAAATGCTTTAGCCATGAGACAATGCTGGCAATGTGAGTGAGTAAGCAAGAGAGATGTGTTCATAGTGTGTCCCTCTCTGCAAATTTATAACTATGAATCACATATGTAACCCTTATGAGCCACATCTACCAATATTGTATGCCTCTACACAATGTAATTTATTAATACTACAGGTCTCCCTCAACATTCGCGAGGGTTAGGGGATCAAGAGCCTCGCGAATGTTGAAAAACCGTGAATGTTTGGTGCCCCAATATATTGTAGGGAAATATATTACAATACTGCTTCCTTAACTTGTTGAACCATGAATAATCATAAAATACATGAAAAAGTCGTAAATTGTACTAAATATATACATGTTATGCTTTAATAATGTATGTTATTTAATAACATGTATGTTAGTAACATGTATGTTATTATATACCACAGACTCCACCACTGCCTCCACCAATGCCTCCACCACTGCGAGTCCCTACTACCCTCCCTCCGACCCCCGCAACTGGCAGCCAACCCTCCCACCACTCAGTGTGGTGAGTGTTTTGCTTGTTCATTATTTGCTATTAAACTACAGAATAAATAATGTAAACCCATTCATGACTGCATATTGGAATGGCTATTAGGAAAGGTATTAGACGGTGACATCATGTATTTACTCTTGAACACAGCAAAGAATCTAACATTTCTGCTATTGCTAATAATAACAATAGTAGTAGTAGTAATAATAATAATAATAATAATAATAATAATAATAATAATAATAATAATAATAATAATAATAATAATAATAATAATAATAAACATGATATAATTGAAGAAGGAAATTGTACAAAAATACGAGGGAGTGGTTGACACATCGTCAGTGTGACTTTGTTTATGCTGGAGTGAACATTAGTCTCCCTGCTCTTCCAAACATTTCACAATAATTCAGCAGTTGAGGCAGTGGTATTTAATAACATATATGTTATAAATAATAGTACATGTTATTATTAATAACATGTATGTTATTAAATACCATTGCCTCAATCACTGCCTCTACCACTCCAGTCACACTCAATCTACAAGCACCAAACACAATGAATTATTGTGAAATGTTTGGAAGAGCAGGGAGACTAATGTTCACTCCAGCATAAACAAAGTCACACTGACGATGTGTCAACCACTCCCTCGTATTTTTGTACAATTTCCTTCTTCAATTATATCATATTTATTATTATTATTATTATTATTATTATTATTACTATTGTTATTATTAGCTGTAGCAGTAATGTTTAATTCTTTGCAGTGTTCAAGAGTAAACACATGATGTCACCGTCTAATACCTGTCTGAATAGCCATTCCAATATGCAGTCATGAATGGGTTTACATTATTTATACTGTAGTTTAATAGCAAATAATGAACAAACAAACCACTCACCACTCTGAGTGGTGGGAGGGCTGGCTGCCAGTTGCGGGGGTAGGAGGGAGGGAAGTAGGGACTCGCAGTTGGCGTGAAACTTAAATATGATTTGGCGGCTGGGAATTTGGTGGCTGGGAATTTGGCGGTTGGGAATTCGCGAATGTGTGAAGCCCGTGAAAGTTGAAAATGTGAATGTTGAGGGAGACCTGTACTTTATTTATGGAGAGGCACTAAACCCAGAGGGGTTATACATTGTCTGGAGGGACAAGAGATAATCAGTTATGATGAGTAAAGGAAGGGGTAGCTCCAATTCTTTGGATCAAAATCCCTTCACAAACATCAAGGTAACCCCATGAATAAGCAAAAATGTAAAACACCTGTATGAATGATTTTAACCCTTTGACTGTTTCGGTCGTATATACAGTGGACCCCCGCTTAACGATCACCTCCAAATGCGACCAATTATGTAAGTGTATTTATGTAAGTGCGTTTGTACGTGTATGTTTGGGGGTCTGAAATGGACTAATCTACTTCACAATATTCCTTATGGGAAAAAATTCGGTCAGTACTGGCACCTGAACATACTACTGGAATGAAAAAAGTTCGTTAACCGGGGTCCACTGTATATGTCTTACGAGCCAGTGTTTGACATATACATACGTACTCATAAATTCTAGAGGCTTCAAATCAAGCAGGAAAAAGCTGGTAGGCCCACATGTGAGAGAATGGGTATGTGGTCAGTGTGCGCAGTATAAAAAAAATCCTCCAGCAAGCAGTGCATAATGAGAAAAAAAAAACTCTGGCCGTGTTTTTGGATTAAAACACCGATTTTGAGGTGTATTTTCGTAGAGTTTTTATGGTTATATTCTTGTTTTCGTAGTCACATTTGATAGAACAGAAAACATGTTATGGAAATGGAGGTGATTTTGATTGGTTTTAGACCTTGAAATGTTGATTTTTGCCGATGTTCAAGAGTAGACAAATGATGTCATTGTCCAATAAATGTCCAACTAGCCATCCTAATATGCAGTCATGAATGGGTTGACATTATTTTGATTGGTTTTAGACCTTGAAATGTTTGATTTCTGCCGATGTTCAAGAGTAGACAAATGACGTCATTGTCCAATAAATGTCCAACTAGCCATCCTAATATGCAGTCATGAATGGGTTGACATTTATTACAATATTGCAGTTGTCTGCATAACAGTAAATCGATTTTCTATTTTTTGTTTGAATAAAAATTCAAAATAGAATGCAAGAGTAATATCAGAGGGGCCTGGAGACATGACTGATGAACAAAGAATATGTTATTTTAGAGCCAGGAATGTCTGCATTGTTCATTCTGGACCCTACTTTGAAATTGTCATATTTTTTAATTTTTGTGAAATTGGCCAAATTGCAAATTTCTGATCATCAGTAAATGGGCAGTTTCTTGTATTCAATCAATAGACAAAATGGAGTTCTAAAGAAATAGCTATGAGTTTGGTTGACTGGAACAATGGAATTAGCTGAAAAATAGGGCTCAAAGTGGGCGAAATCGCCGATTTGTAAATATCGCCGAGGTCGCTAACTTCGTGAGAGCGTAATTCCACGAGTTTTCCATCAAATTTCATTCTTCTAGCGTCATTACAATCGGGAAAAGATTCTCTATCATTTCGTAAGAAAAAAATTATTTTTTTTGGGGGGGGGGGGGGGGATTTTGCAACACCAGGAGACACCTCAGGATTTGGGGTTGCGACAGTCAAGGAGTTAATATAACTGTCTAATAATATTAAATAATGTCATGATTATGATGCACTGGTCTGGAGTTTTACAACTCATTTGCCACGGGTGCTAACCCCACCCATACCATGGTTTTTTATGCTGTGATTATTATAAATTTATACATTAATGAAAATTTTTAGTGTCATCTATTGTATCTCTAATTAGCACTATGCTTTTTTCCTCTTTCTCTCTTACACTGTACTGCTATGATTTTGACTGCTCAATCAAATTGATAATACCCAATAGCATCCATATGCACTGTGTCTGATGCCTCAAGCTATGACTTACCCTTCCAACTCACTTCCTCTCTCAGTCTCTCCCTCTACCATCAATCTTTTCCCTCTTCCCTCCCTTCACCCCTTCCTCTCTCCCCTCCCTCCCAATATTCCCTGTCATACAATACAAAAAATGTAAACTTAACATTTGCAATTATTTTATGTAGAGAGATACGTGGCAGAAGGAAGGCAGTCTGAAGATGCTATTACAATTAACCCTTAAACTGTCCAAACGTAGATCTATATTTGCGCGTAGCGCTCTGACCTTGATTTTCTCCGTAAGAAAGAATGTACAAAACAATGCAGATCTACGTTCGGAGCGCTACGCAAGTGAATGTAGATCTACGTTTGGACAGTTTAATGGTTAAAATTACAGAGATAAATTTTTTTTGACTATATATGTACAGTGGACTCTCAGTACTCGAACAATTTAGTATTTGAACGCTTTGTTCGGTAAGCAAATTGCTCAGTAGTCGACCGTTTGTTTGGCACTCGACCAAACAAACACGACCTGCCAGAATTGCGCTGTAAACTATTTCGTGTTTCTTCATATTTTTTTTTTTATATTATTTGTATAAATAAGTCACCATGGGGCTTAAGAAGGTTAGTGATAACAGCCAACCAAAAAGAAAATTTTTTGGGAAAAATTCATTCTGTACTTGAACAGATCGGCACTCGAACAGCCTTCTGGAACCAATTAAGTTCGAGTGCTGAGGTTCCACTGTATTAGCTCCCACTGGAGATAATTTTAAATCTGTGAAGCATAGCATTGTGTGTATCAAAATGTCTTGCAAATGATACACTATATTATGCAAAACATGGCTCATTAGCATAAATAAAAATATGATACATACTGGAGCACAAGAACTAAACATACTTACATCTTCTTTATACGGCAGCACAGTGGATGTTGGTAAAGAAGCTATAGCCTCAAGACACTCCAATGCCTTCATGCGTACAATCTGCACAAATGTATCAAAAAATTTAAAACTGTGCTTTATAATTAGCACAAATTTTAACAGCCACATCAATACAGGAAAAAGCACCCCGCTGAATCTATTTCAGGTATCTTAAATAAAGCTTTAATAAACTGAAGTCAGTTCATATATGTAGTCAAGTCACTTTTACAAAATATTCAAGTGGGCTGAGCTCCAAGTATCAGGTGTTCCATGCATAATTCTCTACAAAAAAACATGAAAAACAAATGTAATAAGTTTATTGAAAACTATTTCCCACAGTAAAAAACTGATTTTCTTAGAAAGTCTAACATCTATACCGGTGACCAACTGTGAGTTCTATCCTCACAGGCTGGCCTAAGGACAGACTTCCTTGATGACTACCTGATCAACCATGCTGTAATGCAAAGTGCAGATTTTTTTGAAGGACAGTGTAAGCTAGGGTAGGAGGTCTATTACATGCTAGCTACAAAACAGGAATATTATGTGTGAGTTAGAAGGTAGGTGTATTATGTGTGAGATGGATGACAGGTGTATTATGTGTGAGCCAGATGACAGATGTATGATGTGTGAGCTGGATGACAGGTGTATGATGTGTGAACTGTATGACAGGTGTATGTGTGAGCTGGATGACAGGTGTATGATGTGTGAGTTGGATGACAGGTGTATGGTGTGTGAGTTGGATGACAGGTGTATGGTGTGTGAGTTGGATGACAGGTGTATGATGTGTGAGATGGATGGCAGGTATATTATGAATCAATGGACTCTGTGGACCATAAAAAGGTATCCCTACCAGCAATACCTAAACAATAAAAGAATGCTTGAAAGATGAAAACATACTGACCAGTGGGTGGTTGACAGTGAGTGGAACAAGCATTGCAATGAGCATGCTAGTATATGGAGCAGCATGGAGAACAGATTGCTTGAGGATGGTGGCCAGTGTACAAACGGTACTCTCTGTTAATGCTGACTCTCCACATGTAATACCCTGAAGCAACACTGGCAGCAACTGCACAAAGAATATTATTTAAATGATCATTGGCTGTTAGTGTGTGTGTACTGTTCACAGATGAAGTTTAATAACATTACTAGCTACAGTACAAATAAATATATATATTTTATTATTATTAACACACTGGCTGATTCCCACCAAGGCAGGGTGGCCTGAAAAAGAAAAACTTTCACCATCATTCACTCCATCACTGTCTTGCCAGAAGGGTGCTTTACACAACAGTTTTTAAACTGCAACATTAACACCCCTCCTTCAGAGTGCAGGCACTGTACTTCCCATCTCCAGGACTCAAGTCCGGCCTGCCGGTTTCCCTGAATCCCTTCATAAATGTTACTTTGCTCACACTCCAACAGCACATCAAGTATTAAAAACCACTTGTCTCCACTCTCTCCTATCAAACACGCTCACGCATGCCCGCTGGAAGTCCAAGCCCCTCGCACACAAAACCTCCTTTACCCCCTCCCTCCAACCTTTCCTAGGCCGACCCCTACCCCGTCTTCCTTCCACTACAGACTGATACACTCTTGAAGTCATTCTGTTTCGCTCCATTCTCTCTACATGTCTGAAGCACCTCAACAACTCTTCCTCAGCCCTCTGGACAACAGTTTTGGTAATCCCGCACCTCCTCCTAACTTCCAAACTACGAATTCTCTGCATTATATTCACACCACACATTGCCCTCAGACATGACATCTCCACTGCCTACAGCCTTCTCCTCACTGCAACATTCATCACCCATGCTTAACACCCATACAGGAGCGTTGGTAAAACTATACTCTCATACATTCCCCTCTTTGCTTCCATGGACAAAGTTCTTTGTCTCCACAGACTCCTAAGTGCACTGCTCACCCTTTTCCCCTCATCAATTCTATGATTCACCTCATCTTTCATAGACCCATCCACTGACACGTCCACTCCCAAATATCTGAATACATTCACCTCCATACTCTCTCCCTCCAATCTGATATCCAATCTTTCGTCACCTAATCTTTTTGTTATCCTCATAACCTTACTCTTTCCTGTATTCACTTTCAATTTTCTTCTTTTACATTAATCCACTAATAAAAGAATGTGTCTTATCCAATTTTCAAAAATCATTACATGAAAGAAATATACCCATACTTCAAAGAACATGACACAGAAGAGACACACCTCGTTTAGCATGACAAGGAAGAGATACAGTTCACAGAGGAAAGGAAGAGATACACTTCAAAAAGAATAACAGAAAGAGATTATTAAGACTTTCATGGGGAAGAGCTAAACCCATAAGAGTCTACACTGTACCAAGGCTCCATGGTAGAAACCTGAATATGCTTAGTTACATGCAAGAAAAGGCAGCAGAAAGTCAAAGTAAGTTGCAAATACCACAGCACAGAAGAGATACACTGTATGCATATATTTGCTCCTCAGGAAAAGGAGGAATTTCAAAAATTATTATTCATGCTTAAGAAATTGTTTAATGACATGAGCAGAAATAATTTACAAAGAAATTGTTTAATGACATGAGCAGAAATAATTTACAAAAAAAAAAAAAACACCATAATCACCTTTTTTTAAGTGTTTCAATTTCTTTTTTTAAATTTGAGTAAAATGCTGTATTGTATCTTATTCTGAAATAGGATCCGAGAGAAGGTAGTGTATGCTATAACAACTGAAAACCATATGAGAAACTACTGCAAATAGTATGCTGAAGATGAGACACCAGGAGGATAACTCGACCCCTGCAACTACAAATAAATTAACAAAACAAAACCCAAAAACCTTATAGTACTACATTATTACCTTTTCGATATGAGCGTTAAGAATGAGGTAAGGTAATGATGATAAGAGTGATGAGAGGGCCAGTAGAGAATTGTGCTTGGTACTGCCCTCACTTTGGTGAAACATGTCCACTAGTGGCCCTACCACACCTTCAAAATATCTCTGCTTGTACAGCAATCTGAAAAAAAAAAAAAGATTTCTTACACTCAAAACACATCTCTGAGGGTTAAGTTGTAGATTTTGCAATTTCTCATTAAGTAGAAAAATGTAATAAGTGTATGAATGTGTTGCATGCTGAAGAACTGTAAGAAAGGTAAATATCTGGCAGTCGTACAGTGCCATCATGACAGTGGACATGGAGGGAGAAATAAGACAAATAGCATGATATAATATTGTATCTATGGCACCTAAAGCAACTGTCATTATTATTATTGTCTTCATTATCATCATTACTTAGTTTTTGTTATTATTGCTGTTGTTAGTAGTAGTATATTCATGGGTAGGTGCTATATCAGTAGAGGGTCATATAGTGCCATACAAGAGGTGCTGAAGAGAGGATACTGTTGATTTAGAAAGGTACATGGTCAGGACCACCAGAGAGAATCCTGTTTCATAAGAGCAGCATCAGGAGCAATGCTATTAGCATTGGCAAGGCAGCAGCATACTTTTATTTTAAGTCAGGGAAAGTGCTGGGGAATGGGAAGCAAACAGATTCAATACAAAGAAAGGAAGAAGTCCAGTTCCTTAGACCAAGAGTCCCTCACAGCCATTAGCAATGGTAGCATCAGCAGCAATGTGATTAGCAATGGTAGCATCAGCAGCAATGTGATTAGCAATGGTAGCATCAGCAGCAATGTGATTAGCAATGGTAGCATCAGCAGCAATGCCATTAGCAATGGTAGCATTAGTAGCAATGCCATTAGCAATAGCAGCATTAGCAGCAATGTCATTAGCAATGGTAGCATGAACAGCAATGCCATTAACATTGATAGCATGAACAGCAATGCCATTAACATTGATAGCATCAACAGCAATGCCATTAACATTGATAGCATCAACAGCAATGCCATTAACATTGATAGCATCAACAGCAATGCCATTAACATTGATAGCATCAACAGCAATGCCACTAACATTGATAGCATCAACAGCAATGCCCTCAGTAATGGCTGCATTGGTAGAAATGCCATCAGTAATGGCAACAGTAGCAAAAGGCAGCCTACTTTTCACAGTACAAACCAAGTCACATGCTATAAGCCACAGCATATTTTAACAAATGAGGCAATATCTCCTCCATTTAGACTGAAAGAAGCAGGAGGGGAGGGAGGTTCTACATTCAGGTTTAATCTGAGGAACGGAAGGGAAATGAGAATTCCTCAGATTAAGAGCCCTGAACCTCATCAAGGAACTCAAATGAAAGTCAGTTGTACCTGCAATGTCTGTACTGTATATACAGTAGTTCACTGATTATCAGGATAATTGATGATCTAATGTTATTTTTTTATTTTTATTATCACACTGGCCGATTCCCACCAAGGCAGGGTGGCCCGAAAAAGAAAAACTTTCACCATCATTCACTCCATCACTGTCTTGCCAGAAGGGTGCTTTACACTACAGTTTTTAAACTGCAACATTAACACCCCTCCTTCAGAGTGCAGGCACTGTACTTCCCATCTCCAGGACTCAAGTCCGGCCTGCCGGTTTCCCTGAATCCCTTCATAAATGTTACTTTGCTCACACTCCAACAGCACATCAAGTATTAAAAACCATTTGTCTCCATTCACTCCTATCAAACACGCTCACGCATGCCTGCTGGAAGTCCAAGCCCCTCGCACACAAAACCTCCTTTACCCCCTCCCTCCAACCTTTCCTAGGCCGACCCCTACCCCGCCTTCCTTCCACTACAGACTGATTACACTCTTGAAGTCATTCTGTTTCGCTCCATTCTCTCTACATGTCCAAACCACCTCAACAACCCTTCCTCAGCCCTCTGGACAACAGTTTTGGTAATCCCGCACCTCCTCCTAACTTCCAAACTACGAATTCTCTGCATTATATTCACACCACACATTGCCCTCAGACATGACATCTCCACTGCCTCCAGCCTTCTCCTCGCTGCAACATTCATCACCCACGCTTCACACCCATATAAGAGTGTTGGTAAAACTATACTCTCATACATTCCCCTCTTTGCCTCCAAGGACAAAGTTCTTTGTCTCCACAGACTCCTAAGTGCACCACTCACTCTTTTTCCCTCATCAATTCTATGATTCACCTCATCTTTCATAGACCCATCCGCTGACAGTCCACTCCCAAATATCTGAATACGTTCACCTCCTCCATACTCTCTCCCTCCAATCTGATATCCAATCTTTCATCACTTAATCTTTTTGTTATCCTCATAACCTTACTCTTTCCTGTATTCACCTTTAATTTTCTTCTCTTGCACACCCTACAAATTCATCCACCAATCTCTGCAACTTCTCTTCAGAATCTCCCAAGAGCACAGTGTCCATCAGCAAAGAGCAGCTGTGACAACTCCCACTTTGTGTGTGATTCTTTATCTTTTAACTCCACGCCTCTTGCCAAGACCCTCGCATTTACTTCTCTTACAACCCCATCTATAAATAATTAAACAACCACGGTGACATCACACATCCTTGTCTAAGGCCTACTTTTACTGGGAAAAAATTTCCCTCTTTCCTACATACTCTAACTTGAGCCTCACTATCCTCGTAAAAACTCTTCACTGCTTTCAGTAACCTACCTCCTACACCATACACTTGGCAACATCTGCACATTGCCCCCCTATCACACTGTCATACGCCTTTTCCAAATCCATAAATGCCACAAAGACCTCTTTAGCCTTATCTAAATACTGTTCACTTATATGTTTCACTGTAAACACCTGGTCCACACACCCCCTACCTTTCCTAAAGCCTCCTTGTTCATCTGCTATCCTATGCTCCGTCTTACTCTTAATTCTTTCAATTATAACTCTACCATACACTTTACCAGGTATACTCAACAGACTTATCCCCCTATAATTTTTGCACTCTCTTTTATCCCCTTTGCCTTTATACAAAGGAAACTATGCATGCTCTCTGCCAATCCCTGGTACCTTACCCTCTTCCATACATTTATTAAATAATTGCACCAACCACTCCAAACTATATCCCCACCTGCTTTTAACATTTCTATCTTTATCCCATCAATCCCAGCTGCCTTACCCCCTTTCATTTTACCTACTGCCTCACGAACTTCCCCCACACTCACAACTGGCTCTTCCTCACTCCTACAAGATGTTATTCCTCCTTGCCCTATACACGAAATCACAGCTTCCCTATCTTCATCAACATTTAACAATTCCTCAAATATTCCCTTCATCTTCCCAATACCTCTAACTCTCCATTTAATAACTCTCCTCTCCTATTTTTAACTGACAAATCCATTTGTTCTTTAGGCTTTCTTAACTTGTTAATCTCACTCCAAAACTTTTTCTTATTTTCAACAAAATTTGTTGATAACATCTCACCCACTCTCTCATTTGCTCTCTTTTTACATTGCTTCACCACTCTCTTAACCTCTCTCTTTTTCTCCATATACTCTTCCCTCCTTGCCACAGATATATCAGATCACTTTCTAGTTGTAGCTACACTGAGAGTAAAAGGTAGATGGGATACAAGGAGAATAGAAGCATCAGGGAAGAGAGAGGTGAAGGTTTATAAACTAAAAGAGAAGGCAGTTAGGGTAAGATATAAACAGCTATTGGAGGATAGATGGGCTAATGAGAGCATAGGCAATAGGGTCGAAGATGTATGGGGTAGGTTTAAAAATGTAGTGTTAGAGTGTTCAGCAGAAGTTTGTGGTTACAGGAAAGTGGGTGCAGGAGGGAAGAGGAGCGATTGGTGGAATGATGATGTAAAGAGAGTAGTAAGGGAGAAAAAGTTAGCATATGAGAAGTTTTTACAAAGTAGAAGTGATGCAAGGAGGGAAGAGTATATGATCTAATGTATATATACAAAATAAGAAATACCTTACATTATAAATAACAAAAAGGCACACTACCGTGACTGGAATGATACACAAATAACCCGCACATAAAAGAGAGAAGCTTACGATGACGTTTCGGTCCGACTTGAACCATTGACAAAGTCACAGTGTGACTTTGTCAATGGTCCAAGTCGGACCGAAACGTCGTCGTAAGCTTCTCTCTTTTATGTGTTGGTTATTTGTGTATATACCTTATATTCATATACATACAAAATAAGAAATACAGTGGATCCCCGGTTAACGATATTTTTTCATTCCAGAATGTTACACTCCAAGTATTGTAACCACTATTTCCTTCTGGTTAGAGCATAACAACTTTGGTCAGAGAGGTTAGGGTAATAATAATGATCCTCCGGAATGACTAATTTTAATTAAGTATATTCATAATACAACAAAAAGCCAGAAATAATATACGAATTATCGTATATAAGTTACGAATACATGTTTGTTCTGTATTATCTAAAATATATAAGGCTTTCATAACAGATTAGGAGGAGATCCTAGATATAACATATATATATATTCTTTCAACACACCGGCCGTATCCCACCGAGGCGGGGTGGCCCAAAAGGAAAAACGAAAGTTTCTCCTTTTACATTTAGTAATATATACAGGAGAAGAGGTTACTAGCCCCTTGCTCCCGGCATTTTAGTCGCCTCTTACAACATGCATGGCTTACGGAGGAAGAATTCTGTTCCACTTCCCCATGGAGATAAGAGGAAATAAACAAGAATAAGAACTAGAAAGAAAATAGAAGAAAACCCAGAGGGGTGTGTATATATGTGCTTGTACATGTATGTGTAGTGTGACCTAAGTGTAAGTAGAAGTAGCAAGACGTACCTGAAATCTTGCATGTTCATGAGACAGAAAAAAGGACACCAGCAATCCTACCATCATGTAAAACAATTACAGGCTTTCGTTTTACACTCACTTGGCAGGACGGTAGTACCTCCCTGGGCGGTTGCTGTCTACCAACCTACTACCTATAATACATATATTTCTTTCTTTCTTTCAACACACCAGCCGTATCCCACCGAGGCGGGGTGGCCCAAAAGGAAAAACAAAAGTTTCTCCTTTCACATTTAGTAATATATACAGGAGAAGGGGTTACTAGCCCCTTGCTCCTGGCATTTTAGTCGCCTCTTACAACACGCATAGCTCACGGAGGAAGAATTCTGTTCCACTTCCCCATGGAGATAAGAGGAAATAAACAAGAACAAGAGCTAGTAAGAAAATAGAAGAAAACCCAGAGGGGTGTGTATACATATGCTTGTACATGTATGTGTAGTGTGACCTAAGTGTAAGTAGAAGTAGCAAGACGTACCTGAAATCTTGCATGTTCATGAGACAGAAAAAAGGACACCAGCAATCCTACCATCATGTAAAACAATTACAGTTTCTTTTTACACTCACTTGGCAGACGGTAGTACCCCGGGCGGTTGTGTACCAACCTACTCCTATAATAGTTTTTTTTTTTTTTTTTTTTTTTTCAACAAGTCGCCGCCCTCCCACCGAGGCGGGTGCCCCAAAAAAAAAAGAAGAAAATCCCCAAAAAGAAACACTTCCATCATATTCAACCCTTTTTCACCACACTCACACATTATCTGCTTTTGCAGGGGTGCTCAAATACAACAGTTTAGAAGATATATTATAGAGATACACAACATATCCCTCCAAACGCCAATATCCCAAACCCCCCCTTTAAAGTGCAGGCTTTTGTATTTCCCATTTCCGGACCAACTCCGATATAGAAAAAAACGGTTTTCCCTGAACCCCTTCACTAAATATTCCCCTCCACACCCCAAACAGATCGTCAGGCCCAAGTATCATTCGCCCATTCATCCTATCAAACACGCTCATGCACCTTTGTGGAAGTCCAACCCCTCCCCACAAACCCCCTTTACCCCCCCTTTCCAACCCTTTCGAGGACGCCCCCAAACCCCCTTTCCTTCCCCTATAGTTTTTAAATGCTTTCCATGTCATTCTACTTTGATCCATTCTCTCAAATGCCAAACCACCTCAAAAACCCCCTCTTTCCCTCGACTAATGCTTTTATTAACTCCCACCCTTTAATTTCCACATTTCCCAATTTTCTGCAAAATTTTTACACCCAATTGCCCTTAGCGGGACATCTCCAGGCCCTCCAACCGTTCCTCCTGCTGCTTTTACCCCCCCAAGCTTCACACCCATAAAAGGGTTTTTGGTACTACTATATTTTTCATCATTCCCTTTTTTGCCTCCATAGATAACGTTTTTTGACTCCACAAAACCCCAAAAAGCACCACTCACCTTTTTTTTTCCCCCCAATTCTAGATTAACCTCATCCTTCATAAAACCATCCCCCGACCGTCAACTCCCAAGTATTGAAAAAATTCACTTCTTCCATACTCCTCCTCCCCCCAAATTTTATATCCAATTTTTCTTTATCTAAATCATTTGATACCCCACACCTTATCTTTCTTGTTCACTTTCAACTTTCTACCTTTACACACATTTTCAAAATAATCCACTAACCTTTTCAATTTTTCTTTAGAATCTCCCCTAAGCCAGTACATCAGGAAAAAGTAAGTGTCAATTCCCCTTTTGAAATTTTATTCCCCCTAATTTAATCCCACCCCTCTCCCAACACCCTAGCATTACTTCTTTTCAACCCCCTCATAAATATATTAAAAAACCATGGTGAATTTCACACCCTGTCTAACCCCACTTTTTTCCCGGGAAGTACTCTCCCTCTTTTTACACACCCCAACCTGAGCCTCACTATCCTCATAAAAGCTCTTTTCAGCATTTAGTAACTTACCACCTATTCCATATACTTGCAACATCTGCCACATTGCTCCTCTATCCACTCTATCATATGCCTTTTCTAAATCCATAAATGCAATAAAAACTTCCCTACCTTTATCTAAATACTGTTCACATATATGCTTCAATGTAACACTTGATCTACACATCCCCTACCCACTCTGAAACCTCCTTGTTCGTCCGCAATTCTACATTCTGTCTTACCTCTAATTCTTTCAATTATAACCCTACCGTATACTTTTCCTGGTATACTCAGTAAACTTATTCCTCTATAATTTTTACAATCTCTTTTGTCCCCTTTCCCTTTATATAAAGGGACTATACATGCTCTCCGCCAATCCCTAGGTACCTTCCCCTCTTTCATACATTTATTAAACAAAAGTACCAACCACTCCAACACTATATCCCCCCATGCTTTTAACATTTCTGTCATGATCCCATCAGTTCCAGCTGCTTTACCCCCTTTCATTCTACATAATGCCTCACGTACCTCCACCACACTTACAGTCTGCTCTTCTTCACTCCTAAAAGATGGTATACCTCCCTGGCCAGTGCATGAAATTACCGCCTCCCTTTCTTCCTTAACATTTAAAAGTTCCTCAAAATTTCTCGCCATCTACCTATACCTCCCTCTCCATCTACTAACTCCCCTACTCTGTTTTTAACTGACAAATCCATACTTTCCCTAGGCTTTCTTAACTTGTTTAACTCACTCCAAAATTTTTTCTTATTTTCATTTAAAATTTCTTGACATTGCCTCTCCCACTCTTTCATCTGCTCTCCTTTTGTACTCTCTCACCACTCTCTTCACCTTTCTTTTACTCTCCATATACTCTGCTCTTCTTATAACACTTCTGCTTTGTAAAAACCTCTCGTAAGCTACCTTTTTCTCTTTTATCACACCCTTTTACTCATCATTCCACCAATCACTCCTCTTTCCTCCTGCCCCACCCTCCTATAACCACAAACTTCTGCCCCACATTCTAATACGCATTTTTAAAACTATTCCAACCCTCTTCAACCCCCCCACTACTCATCTTTGCACTAGCCCACCTTTCTGCCAATAGTCGCTTATATCTCTCCCGAACTTCCTCCTCCCTTAGTTTATACACTTTCACCTCCTTCTTACTTGTTGTTGCCACCTTCCTCTTTTCCCATCTACCTCTTACTCTAACTGTAGCTACAACTAAATAATGATCCGATATATCAGTTGCCCCTCTATAAACATGTACATCCTGGAGCCTACCCATCAACCTTTTATCCACCAATACATAATCTAACAAACTACTTTCATTACGTGCTACATCATACCTTGTATATTTATTTATCCTCTTTTTCATAAAATATGTATTACTTATTACCAAATTTCTTTCTACACATAGCTCAATTAAAGGCTCCCCATTTACATTTACCCCTGGCACCCCAAAATTACCTACTACTCCCTCCATAACATTTTTACCCCACTTTAGCATTGAAATCCCCAACCACCATTACTCTCACACTTGATTCAAAACTCCCCACGCATTCACTCAACATTTCCCAGAATCTCTCTCTCTCCTCTACACTTCTATCTTCTCCAGGTGCATACACGCTATACTATAACCCACTTTTCACATCCAATCTTTATTTTACTCCACATAATCCTTGAATTTATACATTTGTAGTCCCTCTTTTTCCTGCCATAGCTTATCCTTCAACATTATTGCTACTCCTTCTTTAGCTCTAACTCTATTTGAAACCCCTGACCTAATCCCATTTATTCCTCTCCATTGAAACTCTCCCACCCCTTCAGCTTTGTTTCACTTAAAGCCAGGACATCCAGTTTCTTCTCATTCAACATCCACAATCATCTCTTTCTTATCATTTGCACAACAATCCACGCACATTCAGACTTCCCACTTTGACAATTTTCTTCTTCTTATTCTTTTTAGTAATCTTTACAGGAAAAGGGGTTACTAGCCCATTGTTCCCGGCATTTTAGTTGACTTTTACAACACGCATGGCTTACGGAGGAAAGATTCTTATTCCACTTCCCCATGGATATAAAAGGAAAAGTAATAAGACCAAGAACTATTAAGATAAAATCAAAGAAAACTCAGATGAGTGTGTATAAATAAACGTGTACATGTATGTGTAGTGTGACCTAAGTGTAAGTAGAAGTAGCAAGACGTACCTGTAATCTTTCATATTTATGAGACAGACAAAAGACACCAGCAATCCTACCATCATGTAAAACAATTACAGGCTTACGTTTTATCACTCACTTGGCAGGACGGTAGTACCTCCCTGGGTGGTTGCTGTCTACCAACCTACTACTATATATATATATATATATATATATATATATATATATATATATATATATATATATATATATATATATATATATATAAATATATATAAATATATATAAATATATATAAATATATATAAATATATATTATATATATATATATATATATATATATATATATATATATATATATATATATATATATATATATATATATATATATATATATATATATATATATAGATTACTTTAAATGTATGAAGTCTTGTTTCCCAATTGGAAGCAGTCAGAATAAAACAGAATATGTCCAGGCCGTATAATAAACCTTGGCCAGTTACCAGAGGGAGCAGGAGTGTTCTCGTGCTGCTACTTCTTCACTGCTCGTCCCTCAACCTTGAGCATACAGGTAAAGTGGGTCACGTGACGTGACTCACCAACACTCAGTAGAGTAGTTGAACATAAAGGGGGGGGGGGAAGGGGGGTATAACCATCAAACATCACGGTTAACCATACACCGGCACACCGGGTGGCAGGCATGTTACTATACCTCCAATTAAACTTATGGCCATGTGACATAAATTATAATAATTGTTAATAAGAATTAGCCTTAATAATACAAGGACGTTCATTTCCAATTTAGCTATTAAAGGAAATAACCGCAATGTAATATTAAAGAAAGGTTAACCATAGGGACATGACACAGAAGTATGTTCAGGTGCCAGTACTGACTGAATTTGTTCCCATAAGGAATATTGTGAAGTAGATTAGTCCATTTCAGACCCCCAAACATACATGTACAAACGCACTTACATAAATACACTTACATAATTGGTCGCATTGGGAGGTGATCGTTAAGCGGGGGTCCACTGTACCTTACATTAGCATACATACAAAATATGAAATACCTTATATTAGCAAAGGTCTCTGGTCTTAGAGCATATTCATGATCCTTTAAGATAACATCAAAGCTGTGGGCAGCCTCTAAGCCAAGGTTTGCATCACCAAGTAACTTTTGCATCTGTGGAAAATTCAAGATTTATTAGTAAGAGATACAGTTTTAAATATTCTAATGACTTCACTAATAGCTATTACTAACAAACTAATAACTATTACTAACTGACTATTACTCTAAAGAATGTCTTTGAAAAAATAAATTGGAAAAGCCTTGTGTTGTCTGAATTTACAAGGATCATTTAACTTCCACTTTGACACAGATATGTGTTGAATATAGTCTTCTTTATGGAGTAACAACTCAAGCAGTAATATTTTTTAACATTAGCCATGATCAAGATAAGAAAATACATTCACCATCACCCATTTAATAGCTGTCTTGTCAGAAGTTCATGAACGTTACAATTCTGATGACCCTTTAAATCTTAACATCTTCACTCATCCTTCAGGATAAAAGCACTGTCTTTCCACCTCCAGTAATCAAGTCTGGCTAATATATACAGTAGAAATATTTACTACAGTAGTCTGCATGCTGATTTCTGTCTCATAGTTAAAGCAGAGACCAATTACTTTCATTGATAAAATGATAATCATATTACTGTGGTGTGAATATAATGCAGAGAATTCGTAGTTTGGAAGTTAGGAGGAGGTGCGGGATTACCAAAACTGTTGTCCAGAGGGCTGAGGAAGGGTTGTTGAGGTGGTTCGGACATGTAGAGAGAATGGAGCGAAACAGAATGACTTCAAGAGTGTATCAGTCTGTAGTGGAAGGAAGGCGGGGTAGGGGTCGGCCTAGGAAGGGTTGGAGGGAGGGGGTAAAGGAGGTTTTGTGTGCGAGGGGCTTGGACTTCCAGCAGGCATGCGTGAGCGTGTTTGATAGGAGTGAATGGAGACAAATGGTTTTTAATACTTGACGTGCTGTTGGAGTGTGAGCAAAGTAACATTTATGAAGGGATTCAGGGAAACCGGCAGGCCGGACTTGAGTCCTGGAGATGGGAAGTACAGTGCCTGCACTCTGAAGGAGGGGTGTTAATGTTGCAGTTTAAAAACTGTAGTGTAAAGCACCCTTCTGGCAAGACAGTGATGGAGTGAATGATGGTGAAAGTTTTTCTTTTTCGGGCCACCCTGCCTTGGTGGGAATCGGCCGGTGTGATAATAAAAAATAAAAAAAATTACTATTTAAAAAAATTGTACAGTATATATATAAACTGCTGTAAGTAATGTTTACAATGTACATTTTAGCAACAATATGCATAAAAGGACTATACCTTAGCTGTCCACTCATGCTGATTTTGAGCACCACGCACCACTAGAGCTTTACACAACCATGTTAGTGTGTAGAGTGCAGCTTGCTGTCTCTCAAATGCATGAGTCATATCAAATGCCTTGTTAAGTTCCTCTTTACTCTCTTCTAGTGCTTGAGTGAATGAAGACCCTACATGAAGAGCAAGTAAACTGTAATTGAATCCAGACCCTCCACACAGAGTACACTGCATAGTTAACACCTTAACTGTCCAAACATAGATCTACATTCTTACTGCTAGTGCTCCAAACGTAGATCTATGTTTTAATTTTCATGCCTTCAAATTTTACACAATTGGCCTGAGATGCCTGGTCAGCATAGAATGAGTCTTAACCCTAGGTGTGCACAGTATTAAAAAAATCAGGGACCACTTAGTACCATGTGGGAGCACCAGTTCAACTGAGTGCCAGCTAGAGAAAACAGTGTGGCAAACACCAAGGATTCACTGATGTCATGTCGTATTAACACTCCCCCTTTAAAAGGAAAGCGATGTTGACCCCGAGTTTAGTGGCTTTGAGGTGGATGTGGCCACAAGCGGTACAGTAGTGGAAATATCAAAAACCTTGATAATAACCGATGTGCAACATTTGTGCAACACCCTTTCAATTTTGGTACCACTAGTAGTGTCATCCTGCCAGAATGTCCTATAACCTATGCCCTAAGTAAAAAGAAACAATTCTGGAACATGTAATACGTGTTTGGCAGGCTGGCTGGCTGGTGGCTGGCTGGCTGGTGGCTGGCTGGCCAACTGGCTGGCTGATTGGCTGTCTCTATCTCCATCTGTCTGTCCGTATCTATCTCTGTCTATCTCTTTCTCTGTATCTCTGTCTCTATCTCACAGAAACACATACGTAAATACAATTATACATGGTGTAAATTACCTAGGATAACCCAAAAAATCCAAAGTGCTATACTGTGCTTGCAGATACATATAATGCATAATAAACATTACTAGCAACTGTCAAGTAATACGCATTTTCACTTGTTCAGGAAGCAGACGTGATCGTGTGTAATACCAGTTGGTTCATGAGCACTCTCTGAGACAAGAGAGACAAGCAGACAGAAGACAGACAGACAGGTACACAGATAGACAGAGAGCTACAGAGATAGAAAGCTAGACAGGCAGAGAGCTAGACAGAGAGACAAACATGTTTATTTGTAACAGTGAAAACAAATAAAGCAAAAGCAGTGTATGCTCATCAAATGTCACCGTTAGCTGCACTGTCAGCAGTGGAGTGACATGTCTTACATCATGCTTCAAGGGAACTTATTATTATTATTATTATTATATACTCCCGCATATCCAAAACATTGCAGGGGCCTATAAATACTATGTACAGTGGAACCCAGAGTTTCGGTCGCCTCTAGCTTCAGCCGCTTCGAGTTTCAAGCACTTTTTTGACTAAATTTTGTCCCAAGCTTAGCACTGTGCCCCGTGTTTCAGCTCGCATACCAGACCTGTCTGCCTGCCCACGCAGGTATCGTGAGTCAGTGTGGTTTTGTTTATCCTCCAGTGAACATTACCCTCTGTGGTTGAGGCAGTGGTAGAGGCAGTGGTTGAGGCAGTGGTTGAGGCAGTGGTGGATGCAGTGGTGGAGGCAGCAGTTGAGGCAGTGGTTGAGGCAGTGGTGGAAGCAGTGGTGGAGGCAGTGGTGGAGGGAGTGGTGGAGGCAGTGGTGGAGGCAGTGGTTGAGGCAATGGTGTAGGCAGTGGGTGAGGCAGTGGGTGAGGCAGTGGTTGAGGCAGTGGTTGAGGCAGTGGAGGAGGCAGTGGAGGAGGCAGTGGTGGAGGCATTGGTTATGACAGTGGTTGAGACAGTGGTTGAGGCAGTGGTTTAGACAGTGGCTGAGGCAGTGGTGGAGGCAGTGGCACTGCCTCAACCACTGTGAGAGGGTGGGTAGATGTAGGGGTGAATGTGAGAGGGATGGGTGGGTGGGTGAGTGTGTGTGAGTATAGTGTGTGAAGGTTGTGCCTCAGCCACTGAATGAACATGTGATGGACAGGAACATCCCTCCTGGGCTTCCACATCCACCCGCTGCTAACACAACGTCAATATCCACAGTGGTGGAGGCAGTGGTTGAGGGGGATTCCCCTTCCAAACAATAATATGTCCTCCCTCCTCCTCCTTATCTTCTAGACACCAACAAGAGTCTTCAATAAAGGTACATAAATATGATTTTAAATGTTTATTTAACCCTTTGACTGTTTTGGCCGTATATGCACATCTTATGAGCCAGTGTTTCAGATGTATATAGTATACTCAATAATTCTAGCAGCTTCAAATCACAAATCAAGCAGGAGAAAGCTGGTAGGCCCACATGTGAGAGAATGGGTCTGTGTGGTCAGTGTGCACTGTATAAAAAAAATCCTGCAGCACGCAGTGCATAATGAAAAAAAACTCCGACCGTGTTTTTGGATTAAAACGCCGAATTTGAGGTGTATTTTCGTATAGTATTTATGGTTTTATTCTCATTTTCTTGGTCTCATTTGATAGAATGGAAAACATATTACAGAAATAAAGGTGATTTTGATAAGTTTCATGATGAAAACGACCTTGAAATTGAGCTCAAAGTAGCAGAAATGTTCGATTTTTACCAATGTTCAAGAGTAAGCAAATCACACCACATGTCCAATACACATCAACTGGGGAGTCTAATATTCTTTCACTAGTGCACTGATATTATTTATATAATTGTTACAATAATGCAGTGGTCTGCATAACAGTAAATCTTCTATTTTTTGTGTGAATAAAAAATCAAAATAGAAAGCAAGAGTAATATAAGAGGGGCCTGGAGACGTGACTAATAGACAGAGGATATGTTATTTTAGTGCCAAGAATGTCTGCATTGTTTATTCTGGACCCTATTTTGACATTGGCATCTTTTTTAATTTGCATGAAATTGGCCAAATTGCCAATTTCTGACCACTTTATTGGGTAGTTGAAATCGGTAAATGGGTGGTTTCTTGTACTCAATTGATAGAAAAAAATGGAGTTCTAAAGAAATAGCTATGAGTTTGGTTGACTGGAACAATGGAATTGGCCGAAAAGAGGGCTCAAAGTTCGCGAAATCGCTGATGCGTATATATCGCCGAGATCGCTAACTTCGCAGGAGCATAATTCCGTAAGTTTTTTATCAAATTTCATACTTTTGGTGTCATTAGCATCAGGAAAAGATTCTGTATCATTTCATAAGAAAAAATAATTTTTTTTTTCCAAAAATTTTGCGACATAGCATGACAGTTTCAGAAATAGGTTTGTGACAGTCAAAGGGTTAAATGTTTATTTATCTATTTCATTACTCATTTAAGTACTACAGTATATGTATTTATAATTCTTTTGTGTATGTAAAACTATAGTTATTCTTCAAAAAATGCATTTTTTATGAATATTTTTGTGGGTCTGGAATAGATTAATTGGATTTACATTACAGTGGACCCCCGCATAACGATGGCATCGCATAGCGATTTTTCCGCATAACGATTACTTTTATCGCAAAATTTTTGCCGCGCATACCGATTAAAAACCCGCATACCGATTTTCGTCCGAGACGCGTCCAATGTGCCCTCAGCCAGCCTCACATGTGCCGCTCCGTCCCATTGTTTACCAGCCAGCCTCTGCGGTAACATCCAAGCATACACTCGGAATATTTCGTATTATTACAGTATTTTCGGTGCTGTTTCTGGAAAATAAGTGACCATGGGCCCCAAGAAAGCTTCTAGTGCCAACCCTGTGGTAAAAAGGGTGAGAATTAGTATGGAAATTAAGAAAGATTTTGAAGGGTTTGGGGCTAACCCTGAGAAGCCTATGCCAGTTGTGGAATCTATTGTGCCTACTTCAAAGATTAAGGAAATGTGTGCAGAGTGGGTTGAACTGCAAACCTTTATAGATGAAAATCACCCTGACACAGCTGTTGCAAGCCGTGCTTGTGACTATTTCAATGACAATGTTATGGCCCATTTTAGGAAAGTCTTGAAGGAACGGGAGGTACAGAGCTCTATGGACAGATTTGTTGTGCGACAGAGGTCCAGTGACTCTCAAGCTGGTCCTAGTGGCATTAAAAGAAGAAGGGAAGTAACCCCAGAAAAGGACTTGCTACCTCAAGTCCTAATGGAAGGGATTCCCCTTCTAAACAGTAAGAAGATAATGCTCTCCCCTCCTCCCATCCCATCAATCATCACCAGATCTTCAATAAAAGTAAGTGTCATGTAATTGTGCATGCCTTTTCAGTTTTGTGTGTATTAAAATTAACATTTCATGTGGTAAAAAAAAATTTTTTTCATACTTTTGGGCGTCTTGCACGGATTAATTTTATTTCCATTATTTCTTATGGGGAAAATTCATTCGCATAACGATTATTTCGCATAACGATGAGCCCTCTTGCACGGATTAAAATCGTTAACCGGGGGTCCACTGTATTTCTTATGGGAAATATTGCTTTGACTTTCGATCGCTTTGAGTTTAGACCAAGCTTCTGGAACTGATTACAGCCGAAACTCAGGGTTAGACTGTATATAATTCTAGACAATAGTATGTGACTAAGGTAGATAAAAATGTTCACCTGTCACTGTGTTTGTGACTATTTGAGTACTATTCAGTACCTAATATTAGTATCAGAACAAAGATTAACTATTAAATCACAAGATTATTATTATTTTTATTATTAACACACTGGCCGATTCTCACCAAGGCAGGGTGGCTCGAAAAAGAAAAACTTTCACCATCATTCACTCCATCACTGTCTTGCCAGAAGGGTGCTTTACACTACAGTTTTTAAACTGCAACATTAACACCCCTCCTTCATAAGAACTACTTCAAATTGTAATTATCAGAACATAACAATTCTTCTTCTTCTTTCAACAAACCGGCAGTATCCCACCGAGGCAGGGTGGCCCAAAAAGAAAAACAAAAGTTTCTCTTTTTAAATTTAGTAATTTATACAGGAGAAGGGGGTTACTAGCCCCTTGCTCCCGGCATTTTAGTCGCCTCTAACAACACGGAGGAAGAATTCTGTTCCACTTCCCCATGGAGATAAGAGGAAATAAACAAGAACAAGAACAAGAACAAGAACTAGAAAGAAAATAGCAGAAAACCCAGAGGGGTGTGTGTATATACAGTGGACCCCCGCTTAACG